CATGACGCCGATGTAGATGTTAAAAAACGCCTGTTCGCCCCCCCCCCCAACTGAATGAAACTTTCTGGACATTTTCTGTATTATCCACAAAACAACTATATGTAAAGTCTTAACAAAACAACAACAACAACAAAAAAAAACCTCCCTTCTCTGCCTATCACCCACCCAACACCTACCCCCTTTATTCCCTTCCTCAAACCTGGAAGCCAAACCTAAATACGAATTCAGCTTTTTATACTACAACTCTGAGAAAAGCTCAGATATGTGTATCTGAGACATCAGGCTCACAGTCAGGCTGGAAGCCTTGTGGAATCTGAAAAAAGAAAAAGGTGGACCAAGACACTTGCTGACACAGCACTGAGTTAGCAGCTGGGGTCATGGCTGCCAACGGCAGCAAAGTGACAGATACAACCTGGGCGGAGGAGCCCCAGGAACCCAACAACAACCGGGGGATGGGCAAGAGAAGAGGAAAGAAAAGCAAAGCCAGAATCACTGTGAAGAAAGTAACGGAGATTCAACTAGTAGATTCGACGGTCACTCCTTCCCAAGAGACTGGCTGAAACAGAAATGGAGGACACGCGGACAGAGCTAACTGGCAAGCAGCATTGGGAAATTCTTTTTAAAGCATGTAACACGACTGGCATTAAGCCATGTGACACTTAAATGTTATCTTTATGTAGCTGCATGAGACAGCCAGGTTGCCTGATGTGGGAGAATCGCGTCATCAAAAGGTCTGCCACCGAAGCACCACCGTAAAACGTGAGGCCGCTCACACTGGAAAGAACCGCAGGCTTTAGCTCAGCTTACCTTTAGATTCTGATGGCCACCATTTGCCATTCTGTACTTAGTTTTCCTGTAACCTCTTTCTGTTTCCACAAAGTTAAGTGATGTTCTAAAGGCAGGAGCCGATGAGTTTCTAGGTATGTAAGCCCTGGAGGCGACAAACAACACGAGCCATCACGTCACCCTGCACTGACACCCGTCCACAGAGCTCCACATACGAGCTGCGGCACCACAGCTCGCTCGGGAAAACCGAGCACCACAACCTGGAACTACCTCAACAGGACTGTTACCCTGAAACTGTGCTAAAACTAAGTGGCTGAAGACAAGTGTTTCTGGGTCTAACAGTAATAACTAAGTCTTCCTGAAGCAACAGCTCTGATACCAAAGTGTAGAAAAAGCTTCACAAGAAAGGTTGATTTGATTTGCTTACATTTCTTACTGTTTTTAAATTTTTAAACTGTGTTTTGATAAATTCTTTTTCTCTCCCCTATCTACTTTAACTGCCAGATGATCAAATGCAGAGCCCTGGCTACTACTTCTTTACCTGTAAGCACGCTGCAGTCTATCCATAGCCTTTGAAAGGCAGCAAGGGGCCGGGAGGCATGTGTCCAGGACAGAGGAGAAGGGCCCAGGCCAAGCTGCATAGCAGCAACTCCTTGGCTAGAACCCATATGGCCACACTGGTCCCCATTCAAGCCAGGTAACTTTAAATCTTATTTTACTCTTTCCCACAGAGGTATTATACCAACTCCCAAGTCACCTGCTTTTAAGACACTAATACAAGTGGGCACACTCATATGCACACACACACTTACACTCACACACTTTCACTCAAGCACACATAACACAGGTGCACTTGGACACACACACACACTAACACACATACACACCACTGCCACCCACACACACATGTGCATGTTCACACACACACACACACACACACACACACACACACACACACACCAAATACAATAAGCTAAAAAACCAAAACGAGCCTCTCTTCCACGTTAATTGGAAGCTGCTACTATGTGAGTGAGCATGCAGCTCAGAGCACCTGCCGCATGCACACAGCCCTGGGTTTGACTCCCGGCACCACATACAAGCGCTCTCAGCTCTGATGGTGACAAGCACTGTGACTCTTTAAATTCACAGAACAAAGCCTTTCCAAGTGGCAGCCACTGACCTGGGATTAACTCACCTGCTTTCATAGAAAGCTTTAATTGGATTCTTATTTGATGTCCGACCTATAAAAGCCAACCACACACACAGCGATCAATGGACTGGGACCACAGATGTTAAAAAGATTTTCAAATTTCTTTCAGCTGATAATTAAAAACATTAAAGTTTGAAAGCTGAAAAATAACTTCTAGCAAGTTTACAATTCTAGATGCTTTTAATTTCAAGCTGTCAACAAAGTGCTACACGATTCTGTCAGACAGCCCATTACATGTGATCACTGATAAGATGCCAGCAACAGAGAACTTTAACCAGGTAGCACCTGTATTCAAGAAGCTCACAATCTTAGAATCACGTTACGCTGGATGATAACAGCGGCTGGATAAACAGAACCGCTCAGCTATACAGACACTAAACACCCAAAGAAAAATATAATAGGAGAAAAATCTACATGCTGGAAGTGCAGCATAAGGAATTCTAAGCACCAGAGAAGGAAAAACATGTAAGTAAAGAAAACAAGCACAGAATGAGTTAAGTATTGAGAACTTGTAATTCCTAACCCGCACAGCCAAGTTCTCAGACAGACAGATGACAGACAGATGATAGACAGATGACAGATAATTATAGATGATAGACAGACAGTTGATGATAGACAGATGATAGATGATAGACAGATAGATGATACAGATAATGATAGACAGATATATGACAGATGACAGACAGATGATAGACAGACAGATGGACAGATAGATGATAGACAGATAGATAGATGATATAGATAATGACAGACATATATGACAGATGAAAGATAGATGATAGACAGATAGACAGATGATAGACAGATGGACAGATAGATGATAGATGTTCAGCTACATAATTAGTTGCAAAGTTGGTGTAAAACATCAAGCAACACTAAAGGGCCTTTTCTAAGGAAATTAACAGAAAAAAATTCTTTTAAAAACTTATCAGAAAGTATAGGAAGGGTATTTTTCTATAGAAGAAATAAAACTTGATTACTATGTTTAAAATAGACAACTCACTTCCAATTACGTCAGTGAACATAGTATCAGAGTTTACTCAGAGACAGAAGACTTGAATGGCGTCACCAAGATATCACGCACAAGCACAAACCACCTGAGAACTGGTGTGGTCCTCCGTTAACCCAAGACATCCATTTTCAAAAGTCTTAAAGGGAATTTGACTGTAACCAAGAAAACCTGAGGTGGATACCTTGGAGGTCTTCTATTTGTCTCTGCAACTTTACATGCTGCTGGATTAGATCCGTGATTCCCTCAGGGTCACTTTTACAGAGTTTTTGAGCTTTTATGTTTGCTTGCAGGGCCCAGTCATATTCCCCCAGCATAGAAAGAGCATCACAATAACGATAATGACCCTGTTCCAAAAAGATAAATTTAATTTTTTCTCAAAAGATATGCTTAGGTTAAAGATGAGAAGGAAAAAAAAAAAAGAGTTGAAATGGATTACTTTAGGCCTATCAATAAAAAAAAATAAGATAAAGTAGCTTATGAACTAAATAAGAAGTTATAAATAAGCACATAATTTAATTAACTAGAAACCATTATTCTTAAAGAGACTTGTGAACCCCCAGAAAGGAATATAACTTTTTTTTATAGTTTACAATTAAGGAATGAAATCATTATTTTACTACATGAAGTATATCAGTCATTAGTTCTAGGAAAGAAACTTAATTTTTTCAAGATATTTGAATGCAGAAAGCCATGCCATTCCCTACACTTCAGAAGTTGAACGGTCCCTGGAGCCAGAAGGCACCACCAGCATGCTTGACATCTTGCCGACACTTCCTCTTGGCACTGCTCCTCCCTTTGATCTGCCTCTGTGCTGTCTCTGACTACCGTCTCCTGCTGTACGACATGTCTGAAGGCCACTGGCTCTGTTTACTCCTAACTCCAGTGTGAAGGGTTTTAGTTGTTTCTGGCTGCACACATTAACTCCCTACTATAGAAGCCTAGAGCCCAATCAAAGCTCTCTTCAAGCTACTCATATTTCAAACTTCCATTTTAGGCACATATATTCTACCAAAAGATGATTTACCAGCAAACTAAGCTAGAACCTGCAGCATACCACACAGGCAAAGCCGAGAGCCTGATTTCATGACATCTGTCTAGATCTTATTTACCATTTATTTTGAGAACATTTGTTTTAGCAAGATTTAAAAAAAGCAAAAACAACCCCCCCCACAAAATTAAAAAAAAAAAACACAAAAAAACAAACAAACAACCAAAAACCAGAGAATACCCGTTTTCATTAACAGAAGCCAGTGGGGTGTGTGTGTGTGTGTGTGTGTGTGTGTGTGTGTGTGTGTGTGTGTGTGTGTGT